ACATGTGTATCTCGGCGCGGGCGGCCGTACGATCTATTAACGCCGCTCTCACGATGCGTCGATCTTGACGTTCGTCAGTAGCCCTTGTCGTCCCGAAGAGGATCTACGCTCGTCTACCAATCGTCGCCAGCACCGACGCCGCATCACGGTCCAAATGGTCAGCAATGCGCCGAAAGGACAACCCGGCTTCGCGCAGGCTGACTATCCGACCCCGCTCAAACTGGCCCAAATGCTTGAAGGACCAATGAGCGAGACGCCTTAGAACATATATTATTTATTTTTAATTTATCAACAATTTGTCCACAATTTACTTCAATGTAAGTGCAGAAGTAAAAGAAGTTTACATTTACAAATCATCTCACAAATACCTATACAATAAAACAATATAATAACTCTCAAAATTTACAATATAATAATTAAAATAAAATTCTAGTACAATAAAACAGAATAACCATCTAAATGATAACAGCCCATCATTCACAATTCCATAGTTTTTACTTCAATCTGTCTTCAAACTATTATCTATATTTAAATTTAAAAAAATTAGCCCAAATTCATTAGCAGTCCTTTATAATTTGTTTAAAGGAGAATTTGAAGTATACACTAATTTATAGAATTTGATGATGGAAATTCCATATTGTCTGGTTTGAGAGCTTGGAACCCTAAATTTTAGTTGGTTGGGACAGTCCACCATTCCTGTAATTAGTTTATACAGAAGAGGCAATTCTGTACAATTTTTAAAAGAAACAAGTGATGGCATGTTCATTGAGGTTGCTACGACTCTGTACCCTTGATATATAAATGGGCCATTCAACCCCACAGCATGAGCTTGAGCTGCAATCCTATAAAATTCATTGCAATGTCTCCATCCTTGCAACACAACTTATCAGATATAAGGATCTCAGAGCTTGAATTGAGTGTAATTCAAGACAGACTTGTGTTTATTGTATATATTTTTATATATTAAATGATTTAGAATATAAATGTATGTGCATATCCAGACCATTGCGCATAAGAGTAGCATTGACGAATATTCCTTGATTATTTTTGTTTCATTTGCAATTTTCAAAGTTCGTCAATGTCTAATTTATTCAACGGCGTTGTTGTCACAAAGAGCCCTCATGCACAAGATGGGGTTCCCAGCAGTAATTTGCTGAACTGTTACAAGAAGATAATGAGAGTGAATCCTCACTTAAGGCATTGGCTACGTATGATTGTGTTACATTCTGCCTATTTTGTACTTAGTGGGTGACCATCTGGGGATTAATTCCCTAGCAATCCTTAGAAATTTTCACCTTAAGATTGTGTCTGAAATGGGATACACTCAGTCTAAAGAGCACAAACTGAAGAGTCATTATCAGTCTAGTAAATCGAGATGTGGGTTAACGGGTGTCATTGCACTGACCATGCATCACCTGTGCAAGCCTCTCTGGTAAACAGAAGGGACAACCCACTCGAACAGCCTGGACTCTTCACGAGTTGTCATGCCAAAGATGAAGATGAGTGACCAGCATCTCGACTTGAGGGTTCGTGATTCTTTGAATACAGTGCTCCTCATATCCCTCGAGATAACATCCTTTCGATGTGTAGAATGCTGAAATGGCAGCAACTCCACCTGCCTGGAAACTTATTTCAATTTGTTTGCTTGGAAGGGACACTTTTTCTTGCAGATCAAGTAGTAATCATATTGAACGATAACAGAATACCAATCTAATTTTAAAATAAATATTTAATTTTACTTAGAATTGAATTAATTTTAGTTTTGTTATGAAACCAAAAATTCTAAGGCAATTCCATTTTCAGAGCAGTGGTAGGCTTGGTGCGATTTCTTTAAAAAAATAAAAATCCTTTAGACAAATCAGAATAGTTTCAAGCATTTACAGAGCACCCTAAGCTAATGTGGGACCCCCACCCCACCCTTTTGAATGATGGACCCAGACACTCATGAAGAATACACAAAAATGTCCAACTCACCACTGGCTTGTTCGTTTAAACCTGACCAATTGTTAGTACTAAAAGTCAGCTGTTAGAAAGAACAAGCTCATTGGCCTGAGCTTACCGCAATGATGACAGGTGTTTTTAATTTTGAATTAATGTATACGGATTATCTGGAATTTTCAATTTGTTTACTGCCATAGGCTGGGGAGGCCTGTGATGATACTCTGAGAAAGATGCAATATGTAGTTTTTTGTTCTTTATTAGACACCTATTGCTTTGCTATTCAGAGCAATATGTTTTATACATTAACGAGATTTATTATTATACTTTTTGTGGATTCTTTTCTTTCAGTGAGTAGCTGGAATGGTGGACGTTCTCATATAGATCGAGAAGTGGAAAATGATCGCCACGATGAACGAAAGCGTTCTCATAGCAAATACGATGAAGAGCTTGACATGGGGCGAGTAAGTAGCTTTGGAAGTTTTCTTTCTTGTGTAGATTTTGAAATAAATGAATATCTTATATAAGAATTTGTTCTTTTTGCAGGTGAAAAAAATTAAACACAATAATGAATTCACAAACAATCAACCTAAATGTAATTATTTTGATGAATTTCAAAAAAGGTGGCATTACAAGGATTATCACTATGAGACCCATCATTCAAGAGGAAAGGGATATAAAAAGGATAGAAAGAATCATTATAGCCAGTCCTACCATCGGCATAAATATATGCATCATAGGAATTCTTACTATTCTAAGAATTGGAGGCGTTGATTATAATGTAGATTTGGTTTACAGGTTAATAGAAGTACTGCTGTTGCCAAAGATGTTGGCAAGCAGTAGTAAGGCAAACCCATCATGCTCAGGGTCTTGTGTAACTGTGTGTTCATTTTAAGGGTAACCAAAATGTTCTGAGCGAGTACAAGATCCTGTGTTGGGGCGAGACATTAATCCTGTGTTGGGGCATGACTCCAGACACAAGCTTGCTTTCATTTTGCCATCATGGCTCCAACACCATGAGCTGTTGTCTGTGGACATTAGTAGAAGCTGTTATGTAAATGCAGAAGATATGTTTATCTTTAGAAGCTTCGTTTTGGTGTTATAGATGTTGTATGACTTGATTCTTTGAATTGTACAACAAAGTACCTCAAGAAACCCTCAATTTGTATATGTGAATGTGTGTATGTTTGTATGTTAGAAATGAATGACATCCTTGAGGCACATGCTTTCTTGGCTCAAACTGTTGTGAAATCTGTGACCTATTGGAAGTTTTTACAAGTATTGTACTTGTGTATGTGAATGATACAATTTATGAACAGAATGCATAAATCAAAAAAAAAATGTATTTGCATCAAGAAACATTTTATGTGAATAGATTGCAAATGTGTTCAAAGGGATTAGGTTAATTTTTTCTGAAAGATGCTGAACGCCTCTTTGTAACAAAAAGGATTGCAAAAATAATGGATATTGTTTATGTGGTGTATTAGAAGTAGAAGTTTTTATTTGGGATTTATTATATACAGTGTATTTTTTTATTTTTCTGCCTGTACAAAAAACTTGTTAACTTATTTTGATTTGCACGACCAAGGAGAGAGACATCGGTTCTTGAATACTGGTGCATAATGAATCATATACTAGGTATCTAGATGTGACTGGAAATATGATTATTAACACACTATGTGCTTGGGCACAGGCACTTGCATTTCATTGTGTTTGTAATATTGATGTGTCAAGTTGCCAATAAGAAATGTCATATTTATTGGATTCTGTGCAGTTTACTTATTTTCTTGTTTAGAAATCTAGTATTGACAAGAAAGTGGCAATAATAAGTATTGTTTACATAATTTTAATTTAGTTTTTGTAGAACAGAGTGAAGAATCTTGAAATTAGTAATTTTATGCTCACATTTCTTTATCATGTATTTATATTTTGTAACGACTATCAGTTGAGAGCTAATCAGAAGGCCTCAGATAGATTTTAGTTTTACCACTGCCATCTTTCCCAATAAATGTTAATTAAAATTTTGTTATAAAAAAGATAACAAATATCCCACAATGCTTTATTCTTAACCATCAAATTCACAATATACTATAATTATTAATGTACTTATTGTGCATGGTTTCCAGTAAATATGATATACCATCACACAAATGTTTCACTGGAGATGTACACTAAAATATAGTTTGATAGCACAACTCTTTTGGTAACCAGTTGATCAGGTCACAAGTATACACTGTGCTAGCTACTTGTTAATTACTTTAGATTTGCTCTCGTGGAGGTTGGGAATGGAGGGATTCTCGACTTCTGAAATGTGTACAGCAGTTTTTTATTGGTTGTTACTTTACCGTGTAAAGCTCACATTTCTTTCTCTTCACTACATGAGCATTCATATTGGACTGTGAAAAGAATGCTGTAATTCCCAGATGCTTTTGCATTTCTGATAACTGTGTAAAGGACCAAATTAGTTTTCTCTTGATACTGTTCTATAAAACGTTTCCAAAAGTCTTGTGGTGACAGTCGCAAGTATTATTTGTACCCCATGTTGAATCCTCAGAGGAATACTTACAGACAGTTGAGAGTTCTGACAGAAATTTTATCTTTGCCAGATATTGAACATAAAAGGAATTGTATCTCCTTCATTGTTTTCTATTTTGAAATGTTAATATTTACTTGCTTTTTGCTGATGAGTATTACTGATTGAAACTCCTGCTAGCATGTGAAAATAAGAGATTGTGATATATGTGGTAAGATACTTGTTGCTGTTTCTTTTTTTAAATTTTTTTCTTTCACCTGATTATCAGTATAGCATTGTTTTTTGACCTTATTCATTTGAGAATTTGATGATCAAAATATTTTGAGAATTTGTTTTTGAATGAAGCAATTTTATAAGAGAACATGTAAAAATATAAGCAGAATGTCATGTTGCATGAAGTTAACGTTACCTGAAGAAGCATGTTTTTTATTGGTAGAAGCATGTATTCTGTTATTAAATCATTGAATATTAGTACTCTCATGAAGTCAGGAAATCTTTTTCAGGAATTTGGAATTGTATTAGAACGTCAAATTCTTCCTTTACTAACACCAAATACTTTGCATTGCAATTTTCAAAAGAAAGACGACTACATTCTTGGGTTTGAACAGTAATTTGTTTGCGGATTTTCAAAATGCAGTGATTTAACGAATCTTATTGTGAATTTCCCCCATCTTGAATTCATTTGTGAACAAACCGTTGGTATTGATAATTCGATTCAAACAATTGATGAGGTTGTTGCTGTAATTTCTGATAATTGTGGCTGTCTGTTGAGCTTACATTATCTCTTTTAAACATTGAGTTAAGCTGCATCTATCTTCTTGTCCTTGCAAGGAAATAATTCTGTGATTTATGCTTTTTTGATAATTTTAGGTTTGAAATCAGAACACTGAAGTTTGCCTATTTATAGTGATCTTAATAGCAACAAAATCCTTTAATACTATGAGAAGGCAAATTATTAAACTTGTATTTACTGTTTACTTGTGGGTCACCCATGGTGTTAAATGTTAGTATGTATAAACTGAAATTATGTTGATGTTCATACTTCCAAAATCAATAGAAATTTTTAAACTAATTTGAACACCCGAAGGAAATCAACTTTATTGGTCAATTATTGGTGGAATACACTATTTGGGTGCCTATAAGAAATGCTTTGGCTCTCCTTACATCTATGCAAAAATATGGATGTGGGGAAACAAATAATCATACCAACTATATAATACTGAAGAGAGATGTTGAACAAGTTACTGTTATATATGTCCCAAGGATTGTCAGCACAAAATTCCAGCCTTGGCATAGTCCATCATTAACATTGATAGTTGCATTGTAGTTGGAAATGTATAATCTGGAATTTTGCAGATTGGCATCCTTAGGACAAAACTTCATAGTTGGTAGATCATTTACTTGCCAACTTCTGTAGAGCAATCTTGTTTCATGTCCTACACTATTCACAATTCCTTGCTGGCTTTGCAAAATAAATCGAAATTTTATTAGGAAATAATATGTATATATAAATATAAAATTTCCTTAATCTACATGCCTTTTTTCAGTCTATAATAAATTAAACCTAAATGTCACATACCTTGGAATTAGAAATTACACTCATAAAGAGAGCATGCCTGATCATTATCTTTTATATATACATCTTAACTTGGACTTGGAAATGGTAAAAAAAATCACAGGTTTTACAGCCATCTGTTTGGCTTCTCCAAGAAGGAACTTACAACCAACTTATTGGGATAAATCAATCACCAGGTATAGAATTAAACACTACCCTATGATCAATTCTTAACACATTTCCTTTTTTTTACCAACTTCACAATAGTTTGTACAAAGAAAAAATATGCGTTGTGGTATTACTTGGCATTATCATGGCAGTTCAATTCAAATGCAAGGAGGATTTGTCATCATTTACAAGGAATTACCAAATGTTCTGAAATTGAAATGTATCACTTTTGCTTGACTATAACAGGACAAAATGGCTGTTTGGTACTCTAGATATTTTTTTTCTGAGTTGTGTCTTTATCTTCTACCAAAGATATTGACTTCAGATCTCTCTTCATAGGCTTTGCATCAGGTGAAACACCTTGCCTCAGAATAGTTACATCATTATTTTCATTGGATTTCACTTTAGGATTGGATAAATGAGTTACACTTTTTATCACTGCATTTTCAATGTTTGGGACTGAAACAGATTTTAGAGATACTGAGTAATTACTGTTTGCCACTGCGGGTGGCTCACTGACTAATACTGTTTCTTCAACCTGAGAAGAGTTGATGGCTACCTGTGGCACATTCACACTTGAATCTGCGTTGGCTACCTCAGGCAGCAATGAAGGTGAAAGCACATCGTTGACAAGTTCCACGACAGGAGCACTGCCATCATCATCTTTCTTAGGTTTTTTGTACATTTCCCTGTGTTTCAATTCACTGCTAACACTTTTTTCTGTAATGTGACAATTTTCCTGCTGTGGGGGCTGAGTTCCTTCGTTGCTTATATTGAGTTTACCTGCATTATTAGGAGCAACAACTGTGTTTATGTTTGTTGGCTCAGTTTTTTCTATGTCCCGCTTCTCCCGGTCGTGGAGCTCTTCTCTTATTTGAGGACTGAGAATGTCCCTCAAAACTACTGATGCATTTTTCACATCTGCTTGTATTACAGATCTGTCTGTCTGTGTGCCCACAACCGATTCCTGCAATATCTCTCGCCGCATTGCATTTACTCCACTTTCTAACTGAAGTGGTTTCTTATCACTGTCTGGTGAAATGAAAGGTTTAGTTTCATTGTGATGTAAGGTGAGAGGCAGAGGCTGGCCCTTCAGGCGTTCCAGTAAAAGGGGCTGTACTGGAGCAACTGACCCTTCAGGTTTCACTGCCAAATCGGGGGCTGGAAAATAAATTAACTCTTAATTCTTTTATTTTTTCACATAAAATTTAACTTGGCATTTAATAAAGTAAAATTTGCTTAAGGAAGAATCTGTAATTAACCAGGAATGCCTGCTGCAATTTATTGCATGAAAACTAAAATTCTCATCCATTATTGAAGGGAACTTCCAAGATACAAGTTTTTATGAAGTGCAAGACCTTGTTTGTAAGTACAATCTTAAATGTCAGAAATCGCATAATAATTGAAACAGCTATTTTGGGGGGAAATACTGTAGATCAACGATTGCAGTGGAATAGGAATGGACCCCCCCCCCTCGAATAATTGAAATAAAACCCACATAGGTCATACTATTTCTTTTTTTTATTATTTATTCAACAGTATTCACAAAATTATATCGCCTTCCAGTACTGTTGCTGCTGCTTCTTGGAATTTTTTTTATCATCCATCAGAAATGTAAATGTCTTACATCGAGCACTTACAAGCAAATTTTATTCAGCTAAGTAATGAGAAATAAGATTGTAGTAAAATTTTTAGGTCTACAAAGTGCTCTTCTGTGGAACAGAATTGTGAGAAAGAAGACAGACGACAGATAAAATGAAAACCAGTAGCCTTGTAAGAAGAACCTCATGAGAAATGATGTTGTTCAGCTGGAATCTGAACTTACGTATCTGGTTTTACATATTTGGTTGAGGCTCTTTCAAAGAATAGAATCAAATCTAAATAAGAATTCGATTTATAGACTGAGGATTTATCAAAGTTTGATAAATAGAAGTATTAAGTCTCTCACTAATGAAGAATAGATACCAAGAAGAGAGGGGGAAAAAAAAGTGTAAAGTTCCAGACTTTTGGAATGGTCCAAACCAACTTACCAGCAACATGTAATGATTCTTGAATTTTCATCACTGGACCCTCTGCAACAAATGGTTTTTTCTCTGATGGAATGGTTTTATTATGCCTTTCAGGTGGCTGATAAGTCTTCACCGATGCAACAGTTTCTGGTGGAACAGGCCCAATGGGTTTGTTCAACTCACCGTTTGCAATTTTTTTAAGCAAATCTTGTTTCTTTGCATTCTGGGCAGGCTTTTCATAGCTGTTTTTAACCGGATCCTTAACCTCTTTGTTTTCTTCATTTTTTTGGTTACGTAAATCATCTATTTTAACTTCATGTCTTTCTACTATTTTAGTCTGGTTCAAATTTTTTGCAGAATGTTCTTGATGTTCCTTGAAAAGCTCTCTTTCTTGGTGCTCCTGTAATGCTTGCAAAATTTGTTTTTGTTCTTCAAGGATTTTCATTTGTTGAGCTTCATGTTTTTCTAATTTCCGTAAAATCTCTTCGTTTTTGCTATTACCAGCATTGTCATCTCTTTTCTCAGCTTCGGCCAATTCATCTTCTTCTTTTTTTATAGCATCTTGATCAACCTGTTCACCTACAGATTTTATTTCCTTCTTCTCAATTTCAGCATTAGCCACTTTCTTCTGAAAACAGAACACAGGTAACCTTAAAATTAAAGCCATTAATTGAAAGGAGATCAATGGAAAAAGAATTTCCGAAATGTTTTCTCTCAGTTTACCTCAGGGTCTACCTTCTGGATCTTCTCTTTGACCTGTTCTTTCTCCACTCCCCTTACTGCAGTTTTCTCATCTTTGATAAGAGAGACAACAGTGGGGTCCTTCATAATCCCTGCAGGCTCCACAGGGACAGGGGGCTCCTGTCGTTTGCCCCCTTGGCTTACATCTGCTCTTGGGTCTTCAGGCTGCTCTACTTTTGGAATTTTCATCTCTACTACAAGCTCTGGTACTTTTTTCGGCTCTTCACCAAACTTCTTGACTATAAAAAAAATACAACAGAAAGCACAATTAATATCCTTTTAACACAATAATGTGGTTACTTTACAAGTAGGGTTTCAGACTGCAGAAAAAACATTGTAGCTATTCTACACATTTTATATATTTCCACCTTTTAAAGAAATTTTCAAACAGCAACACACACAATCATTTCTCTCAGCCAATGTTGCCTTCAAGTACTCTGCTCCAACTCATTAATCATCAATGCTACAGCCAAAGGCTTAAAAAAAGGAAATCCCACTGTTGCACCATGCAATGCATGTTGGTCCACAAGATCCCTAGAGTTAAAATAATAGGACCGCTTTCTTAGTACTTCTTAATACATAAGTAAAGAAACTAAAAGGAATGTACAAAATTTCATGAAAATAGAAATCGACTGACCAAGCTGAGTAATCAAGATTGTTAAGGTGGTTTCACCTCGGCAAACTCTGCTGAAAGGTTATCCGGTTTAAATTGAGTATGAATGTTTAGAGTGTTGTGTTATGGTGGGGTTGCAACCACCTTTCATATTCCTGTAATTCCTGCCTACCTTGGGTCACATAGGGGCTCGGATTCAAAGCTCCAAGTGCGCTTTACCCCGAACTTGGGGATTCAAAATGTGCATCAACCATTAACATTTTAGTGTGTTGGAGCTTGTTGTCCGTTCCAGAGACAAAACAGAACGCCCTTCATTACTTTCACTTTTCCAGGATCTTCAGCGAGTGTGAATAGTATACGTGCTATTACATAAGCACCATTGTGTGTACCTGGCTTTCTTTAATGAACATCTTTGACCCCTTTCAGTGCTCCTAAACATTCCTCCACCAGCCGAGACAATCTGCCCCCAGGTGTAACCACTGTGGAACTACCTGACCCCCACCCATTGCAACAATGGGACTTGCTAGCCCTGCTTTTGTTCATGTACAACATTTTTGCCAAATATGATTTAAGATTTCATAATAGCAAACTACTACACAAAAGTATACAAAAGCATCACTGCATGTTCGTGTTCTTTTTAAAACTAGTTGTGCTAAAATAGCACATACTTTCACACAAAATTATTCAAAACTTGAGCAAAAAGTACTCATATTTTCGAAAAAATGGTACATGCTCCAATTTCAAAATCTATCTTTAAGGGGAAAAATTCTCGACTTTCATAATTGAATCATTTATTTGAGAAACTTGTGAAACACCAAATTCCTCGTTTCGAGAAAACAGACTTCGAGCTTCCCAATTTTTATGATTTCAAAATATTGTTAAATTAACTGCTTTAATAAATAATATTTTTCATATAAATATGCACTATACGACGTGTCTCTCCTCTTGGAGGAAAAATCAGCCGACAATGAGTGTTTTAGATTTTGGCGTTTGACGGTTTTCTGAAATAAACAATTCAATTCTAGTGGTAGGAAGATGCCAAAAAATGTTGAATTTTTGAAAAACCAATTTTCAATGAAAATGAGGCTAGCGCCACTCTTCAACTTCCTTCACACTATTCAATAATATAATTTAATCAAAAGCAATGGAGCCAATTTTGGATATGTCCCACAGGCTTCATATAAAGTACCCTCAAAATTAAAATAATGATTTCAAATTCAAGGGACCACTACATCAGCCTGATTGATTGAGAAATATCAGTTTTGGAGAAATGAGCTGAATGATTCAGCAGCTAGCATTGTTCCAGCCAGACAGACAGATCTTACCGTCATTTGATTCTTCAGTATCAAGGATCCACAAAACATCTGGCTAAACCACGTGTTAGAGGATCCCCCCCCCCTAAATTTAGCTACTAGATTTATCCACTTTTTCTTTACCAGGACCCTGTAATAAGAATCTTTCTGCCAAAAATTTGCCGTTTTTCCATGTATTACACGACATTCTCTCTATTATGGAAGATGTAGTGAAAAAGTTAAAGAAGACAATTGGATTTCCATAATTTCTTAATCTTTCATTACAGCCGTTTGCATGTAATCAATTAATGAAGTGAGGGAGATACGACACGATCATATAAATTATGTATGAAAATGTCATTAAGATTTAAAAGAAATGTACTAGAGCTTGAAGCAAAGCAACATTCTGTTGCAGATTGGATGTCCTCTTAATTACTTCTGTCTGATAATATTGGATTTCATGAAGTGAATGGCTCCTGACAAAAATAGGAATGGCAAGGGAAGTTTCACTTATCTACTCTTTAACACACTTTTGAGTTCTGGTTGTTTCGCGACAGCTTCATCATAAGAGGTCATATAAATTGGAAGTCTTTGTGAAAATATTCATTCTTTCGAAATTAGCTGACATATCATAAAAATGCACTGTATTATTGCGTTATACTAAAATAAATAAATTGAACTTTTCCGTACTCTTGGAGAATTTCTTCTCAGAAAATAAATTACCATCAGATTGAGGTCTTTGTTCCAATTTTGGAGGAATATCTGCCAAACTATTATCAATTTTATCATGAAAGTGAGGCGATTTCTCAACTGTACCAGCAGCTGGTTTATTGATAATTTCTGATGGTTTTGTTTCATTAGCAGAATTCAAAGTGGCATAAGTACCCAACACCAAAATCAGAGCTCCTACAAACAAAAGTACCTGAAACAGAACCAATGCAAGTATTGTTATAAGAAATTGACAATTCATTGACAATCAATATTTGTTTAACAAACAAAGATGAGAGGGGTTCTCTGGTATTGACTTGTGTAGTATAAAACACAAAACATGATAGCCTGCACACCAGTAGGATATCAAGACCGATCTTCTTACAGCACAGAATACAGTGAGAATTTGTACAGGCAAATGCAGTTGATTATCTTAGCAGAACTAGTAAGGATAGCAAATTTTACAAATATTAAACTTTTCTGGGAGGAAAGAACATTTGAAGATAAATTTTGACAGTTTCTTCAGAAAGTTGTAATAGATAATAAAGTTAATCAGTGCTTTGTTCTATTTTATCTAGTAAGAGCTTTAATATATTTACCAAAAAGCATTCTTATCTATTCTAAACTTATATGATATCAAAGTTCAGCAGCTAAATGACAAATTTCTACACAAATTTACTTCTTGAACCATAATACTCACATTCATATAGTCTTATCAATAATTATAGGGATAAACAAAACTGATCTTAGGTTTGCATCACAAAAGTGATTTCTCATCATAAATGCTCTCACTTAATCTTACATAGAAAATCTATCGGGAATAATTTAAATAAAAAACAGTACATACTTGAGCCATTAATCTGTCATTGCTGCTTTTGGTAGACATACAGATAAAAGCAGCCGCCGGAAACATTACACAAATGAGAACACCAATAGTAGAGCCCACTAAACCAAGCACCAATTCAATATTTGGAATCAGCAACCCAATCACTAAAGTCACACTAATTATAAAGATTGTAAGACATTTGAATCTTGCTTCCGGGATGTGACTTCCAACACCTTCATGATGCGGCATTGTGATCTGATAAAAGGAAATTATGTCACTAACATCACACTTCACAAAAATGAACACACAAATAATTTCTAGATAATGAAACTTCACCTAAAACTTTAAAATTGCGAAATTGAAAGAAAGCTTTAAAGTGAAACCCTCCATAAAATTATCATGAATTGTTTAATTATATTTTCTTCTCTGTGAATATATACAATAGGCCAATCCCAGCACCTCAGAAATAGTATCATATCTAATATTATAAAATACGTCTTTTACTATCTTTGCTTTTAGTAGACATGCCTGATTATGATTATTTTGCCATTCCTTTCTTATTTGCGTTTAATTATGAGAAGAGTAAGATATAATAAGAATCAACAATGATTGCCGATCCGGTGGCCGAGATCGCTAAGGCAGTAGTGCCGTAGCGAACTCGGACCGAAGGATCGCGGGTTCGAGTCCCGCCTCGGCATGTGTATTGTGTTTCGTCTTTCACCCCCATCATCATCATCATTATTGTGTCAACCACAGTTACCATAACCGTTACAAGCAATAGTGGTCGCTAATGACCTACTAGTGATCGACCTTAAATTAAAAAAAAAAAAAAAAAAAAGGTAGAACTTGTCCAGACATAATTTATCACAAAATTAACTTGCCAATTTTATGTGTTTCTAGCCATGTTATAGGTTCACACAACTTATAGAAACTTCCCAGATTTAATGACTTAAAACTCTGAAATGATTTACATAATTTAATTTCTGAAAAGAAAAGTCATACAATGGGGAATCTCTTTTTTTCTCTAAAAATATTTAATTTCAAGAAGTTCACATAAAATTTTCCAAAATCATTAAAATTATAGACTTTCTATGTTAATTAATTAGGAAAATTCAATCGTGAAAATAATGTAATTTCCTTTATCAAATATCAGATCAAAAACTGCTGTTTTGACCAGACTCTCAATAGCATATTAATGATATTTTAATGTCTCAGGGTGTTATTGCCTAATGCTCCAATAAATAGATGCTACGCTTATTTGCTTTTGCTTTGCACATCACATGAAGTGCCTTTCATGCCTTATACTCTGTTCACATCAAATATGCTGAATTGGTAGTGAGCAGTTGGCTCTGCACCACCTACATCAGAATTAGTTCAGAAACTACACAATACTCATGACTGGCTTCCTGAAGGTCTCTTCACAAGCCTCCCAAAAGGAAGGAAATGGGATGCCTTGGAAGGAAGAAGATGGCAGCTGGGATCAGGAACTCGCTCGAGTGGTGGAGGGGAAAGAGATGGTTTCAGGAGAAATCGCAACAGGCCTGTGTGCTACAATCAATTCATCAGATTCATTTTGTATTCTACAAGACATGTAATTTATAATTTTAAAAACGACCATAACAATTCATTTACTTACTCGTCGGAAAAGCAGTGAGTAAAGACTAGCTCTGCACGGAAAAATCACAAGCGGGAAACTCACTGCTACAGACAGCACAAAACCAAGTTTAATCATTTCACTTACAATTGAAGGTGTAAAGCTCATTAGGACATTGCCTGAAAAGTCATAGAGAAACAAACATGTTACAGAATGAACACACATTTTAATTGTAATTAATTGATTAATATATAAAAAAAAAAAAAAAAAAAAATGCACGAGAACTGCAATTTCTCATCTAACCTGTGAATGGTTGAGTGCAAAATGCAATGTACCCAAAGAATCCTACACAAATGTAGACTCCTGTACATATATTGCATGCGGCACGAATAACAAAGTTCATTCTATCTAGGGATGCATTATGCATTGATTCATAAATTTCGAATAACTGCCTGAAGATAAATGCAAACAATTAGAACATTACTTAGAATTTTAATAGCTCATTAAAATAAAGAAGAAATCTTTTGGGCTGATATGAACAGTAAAAGCTGTTCAGGCACAAGAAACACTAAAAGTTTATATTAATACATACGTTTGGCAAAACAGAGCCATTGAAAATATTGGAATGCATTGTAATATCCCTGCAGGCCTCCAAAAATTGACATGTTCATACCAATCACCAGCCAATAGGTGAGGTAATGATTCTCCCACTACCTAGAGAAAGACTAATTTTATGACAGAAGATAACAGGATATTGTTTGGTTGCAACTAAAATGTTGAAACAAACCTTCAAGACTAGACAAATGTAAAAGCCAATTGTGGCCATTGACACACTAGACAAGCTATCAACATTTCTCAGCATTCCCAAAGGAAGAACAACAAATAGAGCCAAGCCTGAAACATGGCATTTTTTATTATTACAGTTGTCAAAGTGATTATTTAATACACTTACTTTGCAAAAACATTTATACTCACCTATGAGAACACTTGGTCTTAATGATACTGTATTTGATAAACCCAAAATCTTAGCCATAATAGCAGGACCTAAGTCACCCATCACAACAAAAAATGCAATGCATGTTCCCATTAGAAAGCCTATTATGAAAAGTTCAACTGCCAATTTTCCAGTAGGACCAAAAGTATGAAAAGCTGGAACATAAAACAATTCATCCAAATCAGTGCAATAACATCAGGCGTTTATTTATTATTTAGATCAATAAAACTGAGTACAATTAATTACTAACACTTAATAAACAAAAATGAAATAAAACTTCCTCTTATTACAATGTCAGCACTTACCAAGGAATTCAAAAGTTCTTCTTCTTGCCATAACAGCAGATTTCAACAAAAAGTGGCAAGCTAGCCGGGACAACAAACTGCTTGCAATAAGCATTAGAATAGACAAAGCAATGCCACACTGAAATTAAAATCATTTTCATAAAATCATCTATTTCTTCAAATATGAATACATTACGCTAAGAAATCAAATGTTACGAAGACTGACAAGTTGTTAATTCTGAATTCCCATTAAGTGGGTTGAAAATGATATTCTACTTACTTGCTTAAAACAAAACGGCATAGCCAGAACACTGACACCAATAATACTATTGGCAAGTGTCATAATAGTACCCGTATTCGTCCCCATGATGTTATTCTAGTGTCGAAGAAAAAAAACAAAATGATACTGACAAAAGAGTTTCACATGTTGCTTAACTATGAAACGACGACAGGGCACTGTCATTTACACCACAAAACTGAATTGTCACTTGCGGCAGTAAAAGATCAGCTAGACAGCCACGCACTGAACGGTGCATGCCACCTCAGCTGTTGGGTATTATTTACCGCAGATGTGTTGCTCAAGGTTATCTTCTTTTGTTTATGCGAACGTCGTGTACCACTACTGGCCTTATCGCAATCCTCAGTTTGTTTACATCTCAAAAACTTGACAGCTCATACTCAGTGCAAAACAGCGAATAATAAGACGTATAATTTTCTCAGCTATAAATCAAAAGTTACGTTGTGCTACTTAGTAAAGTAGTAGAGGGATTAGGCAAAAATCCTACCTGCCATTTCCGATACTTTTATTTCGTGTATTTGGGTGCACTGAAAAGTGGGTTGCAGGAAAATGTTATAGCGCAAAAAAATTGACAATTAATGTACGAGAAATCAAAAATCTCATAATACTCGCGATATTATAGTCCAATGAGAGAGTCGCATTTCTTTCTTTATTTGACTGACATCCTGGTCGCTGGTACTCCCAAAGAAGAGCGTAGCTCATTTGACCACAAGATAGATACGATATGTTGTTGAGTGTGGTTAGATTGTGCACGTAGTGTAAAAAGCATTTAATATTTGTGTTCATTCATTGAATTTGTTCGTGATCTTCTTTAACGGGTGAGTTCAATAGCTGCTGTTCAAGTGTCTTATTTTGAAGTTGCAATGTGTACCACTGTTATTCCTGAAAGCACAACCCTCCATTTTCTTTATTTTCCGGAAGGAAAAAATAACTAAACTTTTTGTGTCAGTTCGTGTAGAAAAAGAATATTAAAATATGAACTGTATATATTCGCTATGAAAATTTAAGTATTGCGGTTAATTTGTCATTACATTTTTTGCTAAACCTAACCTCTTAAGTTGTTATTTGCTTGTACCGATTTGTGCAATTCATGCTTTTATCTGCAATATTGAATGTGTTAATATACATAGTGTTACTTTTAAAATAGGCACTGAATGTATAAGAATATTTTCTAGGAGGAAATTAATTTTCGACGATGGAAGTTAAAATTCAAAAGTCCTTTATGGCGTTTGTGGCAACACGGACCAAAAGTGACTGACATAGTGCAGTGTTGCCAGGTGGTCGTAAGCATTTGCCACTAGATAGCGCTAGAAAAAACACCAAAACGACGGGGGGGAAAAACCAAATTAGAAAAAAAAAATTATTTCACCGAAATTAACCTTCATTATTTTACCGAAAACGTCTATATTTTTAATAAATAAACAAATTAAAACATACGTGTGTACCGATTATATTATAATTATATATATATATATATATATATATATATATATATATATATATATATATATATATATATATATATTTATTGTTTTAAGGAGTTTCACATTTATATATACGAGTTACGAAATGTAAGAGGTATATCTTTGATTCACTCATTCTAATGCCTGAAGAAGGCATCATGATATTTCTATGTAAAAACTTTTCTTCAACCGAAGTTATTTCGGTTATTTCCGATATTTATTTCTGTATTCGTGTCTCTTCATAAAATACACCGTAACCTTTATCAATCTTTGGTTGTAACAAATAACCGCGCAATTTTAAACGAGGGATTTGAAGTGATCTTACTCCATTTAAGAGTTTTTAGCACGCTTAATTATATTTGAATAAATGGCTGAAATCTGGGATACCGTACAACTTAAGGCAGTCGTTTAAACCGGCACTTTGCGCGGGGTGAAAATCCACGGTGGAGGGGTCGAGGGATATTATGAGGGAACCTTTCAGAGGAAAGGGGTGGTGTGTGGTGGCACGCAAATCTTGTTTTTGTCTACGTGATATTCTGTGTCGGCTACCTGTCGTATAGTTAGATTTCTTGCGTTCTTCGAATTCTTTGTGATTTGTGTTTTTGAGTGTCGAGTGTCTGTGATACGTGAGACTGAGAGTGTCGAGTGTCTTTTCTACGTGAGATGCTCTGTTCTACGTCTGTGCTTCATGTGGATTTTTTTACGCATTGCGCCGAAGGGGGTGTTTGTCTGTTATTGAATTGTGGATTGATTGCTGCAGGATTAAAGTGTGCTGTATCTAAGTGTCCTATGAGGTTGGCCAAGCGAAATAAGTTGTGTAATGGTTTCGAGTGGAAGTGTAACAAGAAAGGAGTCACTCATGTGCGTAAGGGTTCCGTGCGGAAGAGGTAGTGGTTTTCGGGAAGCAAGTTTAGTAGTACTGACCTATCTTTGACTCATAAAACCGTCAGTCAAACCGCCATATAAATCGCCTATCGGTAAGTTTTATTCATTTCTGTCATAGCGCCGTTACTTGGATCCCGGCGTGCGAAGCGAGAAAACTTGCCTTTGGAAGTAAATTGTCATTACAATGCGATAGGGGCAATGCATATAAAGGGCGAGCCATGAAAATCGCCGTTTTATTCATTTCTTTCAGAGCTTCTTTCGTAGCGTAATATGAGGGAGAGCTTAAGGAGACACCCCCACCCCCGCCACCACGCTTCTCAAAGGGTGTACCCTACTTTAACAACTTTTTCTTCTTACATTGGCACATAAAGACGATAAAGTAAAAATGGCAACATAGTGGGAAAATGTCATTACATAAAAATTTACTATACTTTGAAAATGAGAGTTATCAGAATTTTTCAGAGTAAGTCTGGAGAATTTTTAACTATAACCATGTGAAAATAACTCTAAAAATCTCAGAATGAATTTTCTTCAAAATATTGGAAAATTTGAGAGAAATAAATAAATATTCTAATCATTTTCTGAACATCTTCAAAAATCTCAATTCTTAGTAATTTTTAAGAATGGCGTGTTCGTTTAATATTCTATTTAGCGCGTAGAGCGAGTCTCTTTTATTTTGTTATTAGTAAGATTGTCTGGAAGAGAGAGAAAATTGCATCCCACACCAAGGAGAATAATAAATGAGCAGCCCAAATTTTTTTTTTTTTGAGATTATTAGAAAGTTACTATAAAAGTTGTCAGTCTTTCTCTTTAAAAATCTGAAAAGTTTTCAAAAACTTTTCAACAGATATTCAGAGTTTTGTGTGTGTGCGTTGTGTTGTGTGGTGTGAGTGTGTATGTGTGCGTGTGTCTTCCTACAACTAAAATATCAATGATACGGCTTTTTTCTCTTAATAAAATATGTACCTTAAAGATAGATATTCAAATAAAGACATGTTGATTTTTTTGAAAATATGAGTACTTTTGCAATAATTGGGCGTGAAAGTTAGTCGACCGCTGTGAAAATCCTGCGCTTCCTTCTCGTAATTGTAGGTGTTTTAAGGCGGTCGGATGCTAAGTTAAAATGTGTATTGTACTTCATATTTCTTTGTTCATTTCTTACATTTTAGTTTTTGTTATACGTTTACAAATTAATCTTTGAGATATTATTTAAAATGTATTTGAAATAAATATGAAATAAATATTGCTAGCCTTCAGTCGCCTGCTCCCAATTTACGCAGTTAGATGCCCAAATTTAAAATTTATATATTATTTCATATTCTATTTTAATATTATTATTTATATTATATTAATTTTACTTCATTTTAAATAGCGTCCTGATATGAAAATGAATAGATGATTGTGGGTTGTTACTCATTGTTGTAACGCAGAACAGAAGACAAAAGGCGATTTAAAAAACATTATATATTGTTCGTGTTCGTCATAAACATTTCTTTCAAGGGTTTGAAAATATTTTACATAAATTACATTGATTTTGTGGAATGTTATAAACATAATTAAACATTAAACATAATTAACAATCTTAGAGGTTGTTCCAGGAAGGGGCCTCCGAACAGTTATTTTAATTTTCGTGATTTGTTACTATTGAATAGATAATCAGTAGAATTAAGGAGGATGCAATAAATCTTTCAAATGACGAGATTTAATTCGGGGTAAAGGATGAGCCAACTGTCCTAATTGGAAAATTTGTGTCACTGGGCCAAGAGGTAAGTGAAGAGTAGAAACTGTTTGATAATTTATTTATCCATGTTTTAAGGAGTTCAATAGAAAAAATCTCTCTGAATTTGATTATTTCTAATAAACCATAGAAAATTTAAATTGCTATTGCGTCTATTTTGAATAAAGAATCTATTTTGAATAACTTCAATTTTGCGAAAATTTGTTTTTGCTCTGCCACGCATTATTGGACATGCATATGTGAGGGAAGGGCGAATTATTGTTTTGTATATTGTGATAGCTGTTTCAATTTTGATGCAAGATTTTTTATTTATAAATGGGTACAGTTAAAGTATTTTAATATTTGTTTTATTCGCCGTGTGTATTAGATCTTTCCAATTTAACTTTGAATCTATAATGATGGCTACTTTTCATTCGCGGTAATAAAAGCGAATACTTTTTTTTACATGTAGAATAATACAATACCACAGTGTTTAATAATTTCTATTATGTATTTTTCGACCTATTTGTTTGCCATCGCTATCAGTATCGTATTATTTATTAACTTTATTTTACTTTCTAACTAATTATTTTACTTTCTCGCAATCTGCTTAATTTTCGCACCAAATGTTCTACGATTTCAAATTAATTTTACAAACAATAATTCGGAGAGAAATTGTGGAATAAATAGTATTACATATCCATTTCTAATGGCGAGAAAGCCCGTGTTGTTTGCCACTACTTCAAAATTTCAAATACTGCACGCAATTCTGTGCAAAAACTACTAAAAGTTTCCAAAACTGTACCTGACCTTAAGGAAAGAACTAATAATGGATAATAATTTCGTTTGAAGGAAAAATATCTATCTTTAATTTTATAGTTGTAGGAAGATGCCGAAAAATTCAAACTTTTGCACTTTTTCAAAATTCAGAGTTAACCATGAAAATCGGACTTCTGGCACCTTTAGAAGTGTATTTTTTATCTATTTTACAAGAAATTTAAAGAAAAATTGGGTGCAGCTTTGAAGAAATTTTTGAAAATGTCAGGGAGGTTTCATGTAAAGGACCCTCAAATTTTTTAGAAAGTTATTCAAAATCTCGGCGTCTCGACTCGAGCCTGATCGATCCGGGAATAATCCGGACAAACAGACAGACGGACGTTAAAAAAAAAACACTTGCTGTATAAGGGGCCCTCAAACATGTATTTCCGTTGAAATCTAAAAATTGAGTTTCAAAAAATGTTTCAAAAAACTCTACATGACCTTAATGAAAGAACTAATTATAGACAACAAATATAAGTTGAAGGAAAAATCTCTAATTTCAATTTTGTATTTGTAGGAAGACGCTAAAAATTCAAACTTTTGCACTTTTCGAAAATTCTGCGTTAACGGTGAAATTGGACCTATGCCACCTTTAAAAGTGTATTTTCCTCTATTTTTATTAGAAATTTAAAGAAAGATGTGGAGCTTTTTTTTTTTTTGATGAAAATTTGGAAAATGTCTCAGCGGCGTCATTTACAGTACCCCCAAAAAATCAATGAATATTTTTTGAAAATAACAGCTTCAACTCAGGCCAGATCGACAGAGGTTTCGTCAA